GAATTTCCCTTGAGGTAGGAGATTAATCACAAAGTATTTTTTTTTTACTGAGATACTGCTTCACATCCCTGGGGCCTGTACTTTTACATGCGGAGGAATCTGCTCTAACGATTTCCACAGTGTTCAGTCTTATGGCCTGAAAACTCAAAAAATCCAGAGATCTGTACTGAGAAACTGGACAGCTGGATAGCAAGTCATGTCCCAACCTGCTAGGAAATGGGCCAGAGAGATCCATCTCTTGCAACTGCCACATATTCCAGCTCCAGTGGCTCCAGCTACTTCTCTGGCTTCCCCAAAGGTTTGCTCCATCCCTGACATCTTCACAGTAAGTGCCTGGAGCGCAGCTGCATGTTTCTCATCAGAAAATACAGCCCTGCCCAGGCAGGTAGGCCAGATGCTGTGTTTGTTGGTGGCGTCGTGTTGCTTGAATTTGAGACTCACCTTTATATATATATTTAGTTCAGGAAGTTAAGGAAAAAAGTCTTAACAGAGAGGGTGACAGAGCACTGGAACAGGTTGCCCAGAGAGGTTGTGGAGTCTCCGTCTCTGGAGATTTTCTAAACCCACTTGGACACAGTCCTGTGCCACGTGCTCTAGGTGACCCTGCGTGTGCAGGGGGTTGGACTAGATGACCTCTAGAGGTCCCTTCCAACCTTAAGCATTCTATGATTCTATGGTTCTATGATTCTATATAGGCTGGAAAAGTGTGAAAAACTGATGCTTCGTGGCATCAATTGCAAACTGCTCACTTGTAGTGAGACTAAGCAGTGAGAGGCAAAGGGAGCTATGGCTCTAACTGGAGGTCTTTGATATGTGAAGCTGATGTGCTGTCTCTGCTGCTCTCCTTCACCTCTTCATTGGGATCGTTTTGGCCTGTGGGAAGTTCTGTGCTAGAACGACACCAGTGAATGACTTGGATTTGAGATCACTAGGATAATGTGTCCGAGTAAGGAGGAGAAATGCTGTCCTTGGGATCTGAGGGAAGGCTCTCTTAATTCACACAGAGTGAATCAAGACTGGAGTGACCAGTGGTTCCCAGAAAACAGATAAGAAGCCCAGCAGGGAGGGTGAGGCCTGGAGGTCCTCACCCGCAGACATGGCCATATCTCAGGCTGCAGGGCAGATGGCAGGAGGCTCCAACGTGAGGCACGCTGGAGGCAGAGCTAGGCCTGGGCCTGTTTCTGAAGCTCTCCAACTTCACCCATCAAGCATTCCAGGTCCTTTATTTTCCACACTTCAGATCTGAGCATCCCGGAGCTGGTTTACAGAGGTACCAAACATCCTCATAACATCTGACAACTACCAAAGTCCCCCACCAAGAGGGGAAGGGTCTGCTAAGGAGACTGGCGTGAATTAAGCCAGACCTCCACCTCGTCTTGCAGATGGCCACCATGGTTGGATCCCAGCCATGATTCCTTGCTTGTTGTTCCTCTGGCTTCCTTTCGACACAGGTTTCTCTGCGTCCGTGACCAATAGCTGTGACCCCCGCATTCGCTGCCTGTAGATGGAGGCCTCTTTTGTAGCCCCAACCATGGGTTTCCACACACGGCAGCCACGTACAATGGGAAACTCTGTGTGGCCAGAGGAGCACCCAGCACTTCAAAAGTTCCCCTGAGGGCAGGGGGTTTGGGGCCCCGTGGTTCTTCTGCCGCGGCCCATATCTGGCGAGGCGCTTCTGCGGGCAACAAGCCCTGGGCATGCAGAGGCGGCCGGGACGAGCTTGCCCGGGGACCGATTCGCGCTGCTCCTCCCCAGGTTGTGGGGAGGCGCCTGTCACCACTGGGGAGACCCGGGGCGTGTGGCTACAGCTGGAGGCCACCAAGGGCGGCTGTTCACTGCCGGCAACTCCCCTCCAACCTGCCTCCCGCCGCCTGTGCCGGCACCGTCGGGGGGGGACCG